CGATCCAATGGTAATTTGATATCGCTGCCATCACCATAATATAGTGTAGCACAGAATGGCCTTGTATCATACTTTGACATCATGCATGCAGAAATGCCTTGGTCATTCATGTGGAGATATGACTATCACGACATGTGGAGATATGACTATCACGATAGAATTAGTTACGCCAAGTAACACGTCGTACACGTCAGGTAGCAGCTGAAATATTTTAATATTTGCCATAATAAGCCCATAACCTGTTGGCAAAAGAACCAAACATCTTCACCATTTTACATTATGGCCAAGATACATTTGAATGTCTCGTCTTTTAACGAATATTCAATCCCTCTTTTCGCTAGAACAACTTTCATAGCTCTTTCAGTATTTGCCATTGAATATAATTTAATAGTAGTACGATTGAAAGCACCTTTAAACGTATAAAAACCCATTTTGTAGACTATATTCTGATGAGAATCTTCGTTTAAAACAATATCGATTGTGAGCGTGTGCCCGCGCGAATTTAGTAAGCGGAATAAACAAAAGCAATAAAAGCGCATGCGCCATTTATCTCATTTTGGATAAAAAAAATTCGATTTCCCCAGAGTCATGCCACAACCTAACCCGCGAACAGGCATACTCTGGGAACGAGATTGCAAAATACCGGGCCTTGCTTGCAGGCCCACTATCAGTTCCCTTGGGCCTGCACGCGGGCTAGCTGACCAAAGTTTATATGATCCTGCCTAGGCGACCGGGATGGGACGTTTTCATCCTGCCTAGGTGAGTTTCCCGTCTAGGTGGGGTAAATACATTGCCGGGATGAAGCCATTTAAGTGCTTGATGTCATATCATAGATTAAGAAATGAATAGTGGCTCACTCCTTTGAAGTTTTTGATGCCTCCGACAGGTGCGACTTCCGGTTGGCCGCCATTACTCTGGCCAGTAAAGTGCAGCCAGTGAACTCTATATATATATATATCTGGAACGATAACATTCAGTCATTTGATTGCGAAAAAAATGAAGCCTCGATACCAGTCTTTCACGCTGATTGGACGTCAGTCTCAGTCCCTCAAACGTCAGGTTTACGCGGATTGGACGTCAGTTTCATTCCCCCTCTTGCAAACCGTTGCACGGCCAGTATAAATTTGAACGCAATCACGAAAAAAAAATTAAAAACATGGCCAATTCAATGCAATACATTTTAGGAGAAAACTGTTTTGCTCCTAAAATTTACTGCATTGAGTTCGCTGTCGGAAAAAAGTCGAGGAAAACTTCCCCGTGTGGAGAAAAGAATCACTTTTTCAAATATATTGTGTCGTACTGTCGTTCTGGATGCACAAGGAAACTAGAGATATTCTTGCGAGAAAATTTCATTTCACAGGTAGGTAAATTGACTTGCAACTGTGACTTTGCCGTTGCCATTTTTCGCGATTGTTTGAATTGTTTTTTAGTTTACCAGTTTTATAGTTTTTAGTCAATACACTGGTACGTTATTTTCTAAAGAATTTATTGTGTGATCTGAATTTGCCTGCCAGCAAAATGTAAATGAATATGTACCTGTGTTTGAATATAAATTAGACCATATGGGCTTAGTAAAAAATTATTTTAATAACTACGTTTCGGAGTATAACTCCATCTTCAGGTTAAAAGTGAATAAGGGACCGGTCATTATTTATGGCGGGGGGTGGCACCGAAGAGAAAAGGGTTGGGTAAACTAAATTTGGAGTGAATAAAAGGTTGGGTAAATGAAAAACAAAACAACTCAAGGGTTGGGTAATAAAAAGTTATTGTCATTTTCAAAGCATGACTCACTTAAATATTGGAGACTGAAAAACAATGTCAACAGTCGTATGTCAATACAATATGTACATCAATCAGAGTCACTATCTTGATCATTTTCCGATTTGTTGGGAGACAAATGGTGTCTCCAAAGAAAGTACATGTACATACAACATGAAAGTTTAGTTATCAAACTTGTGTCACAGAAGTGGTAAAGGACATGTGTGACAACTGACTGGTATCCTTTTGTAAAGGTTTTGGCAAGGGGTGGGTATTTATTTTTTAATTGATATTTGAGGTTTGGTAATCAAATTTTTTGCTTTCTAATGGTTGGGTCAGCAAAATTTTTACCAGGAAAAACATTTCTCTTCGGTGCCACCCCCCACCATAAATAATGACCCGTCCCTAAAGATATAAAAACTGTGATAAAAACTTTCAAAACAATTACAAATTTTATATGTAATTTTAATACTGTAAGAAAGTTCTTGAACAGTTGATGACGAAGACAATGACGAATACTTATGTCGTGATTTTTTTGTCGGCTTCACTTTTCGCTCGCTGTTATCATTCCAGATATATATATATATAGAGTTCACTGAGTGCAGCCCACTGAGTGCAGCCAGAACGAATGGAAAATGTATTGTGAAATTGGCATCGCGCGCATAAAAACGTCATTTTTACCGGTTTTGGACACCTGAATTCAACGTTTACGGTCGAAAATCAAAATTAGAAAGGTAAGAAAGTATTATTATCTGTTTTTATTAGCCCTGAAAGTGTTTTTTAAGTCAAATTTTGTGCTCTTAAATATGGCTAGTTCGGCCAGCCAGACATAAAAGAACATAGCTTTTCGTCCCATTTGCTGTATGTTTTCATTCGAAAGTAACATTAATATATTACTTGAAACGAAATTTATAAACTATGAAAGTTACAATCCATGTACACTTTGACAATTCATGAACTCATTCTTGCAATAGATATACAGTATCTCTGATGTATATTACAGTGTCAGTATATATGTCTTCATCACAATTTCTCTGCCAAGTTTAATAAACATGTCTTTTTAAGTTCACTGTTTTCTTGAATTAGATATTTATCTACTAAATTTTGCCCAACTTATTCAGATGCAGCCCAGATAGTATCAAACTATGTAGAATATAGTTTATAAACTGAGCACTACAGGGTGTATCAAAAAAAGCGCAATCCTCGACTGAAATGTAAATTGCTAAACAAATAATAGACGAAAACGTTAAAGTTTACATTCATTTTAAAGCGTAGCCATTCAGCTTTCTAACAGTGAGTTGTTTCTTAAATTTGACTCATTGGTTCGTGGGTAATAATACTTTACGTTATTGCGATTGGAGACTAAAAAAATTGAGATGGAATAACAAATCGTTCTCATGAAAATAACTGATTTTTTCATTAAAACAAACAAATGTTGCATTTTATTAAAGGGTATGGGCAATGAAAATTTCTTCATCTATTTTATTGCTTCATCTGAAAGAGCATGAAAAAATAAGCCGATTGGCCGTTTACTGCTCTATTCTATCTCATCCGGTTCCGAAGTTATACGCAAAAATGTGCAAAATATAAATTGCTGATTCAGCACAATGTGTGACGTCATAAGCTGGGTAAGTATGTTTATTGAATAGTAAACTAAAGCATAGCTGAGTTATTATTGGCTCAAATCAAATGAAATTTTGCATACAGATAGTACATGATGAGACGCATGGGAAAATACTTCTAATTTCGTTGTCAAGGCAACACAGTCGTTCCCAGGCCCCTTGCGCCAATTTTATAAAACAGCTTTATTCAAGGTACTGATAAAAATAAAATAATATCAGAAGTATGTGTACGATGCCTATGCATGCCGAAAGTTTACTTGCATGATAATAATTCGAAAATGACATACACATAGAGAAATGCAACTAGTTATTCAAAATCAGTGTAAGGGGTCTGGGAACGACTGTGTTGCCTTGACAACGGAATTAGAAGTATTTTCCCATGCGTCTCATCATGTACTATCTGTATGCAAA